TTCCCCAAATGCAGAGATGCTAACTTAGGCACGACAAACACTAGAGCCCAAAAATTAGTTGTGCTGCTTCCATAAATGAGTCACCCCCCTCCCAGAATCCCAGTGTATCATTGTGGAAAATGTACCCCTACAAAGGTGTTTAATGTGAAAACAGCCAGCCCTTCTCTTCCCTCCCTCTTTGCACCTGTACACCTCCAGAAAAGCAATACCTAAAATCATGGCCATGAGATGGGAGGAGAGAAAAGATTTTCAGGGTGACTTCTGGGGCACCAGAGGAACTGCACTGAACCCATATTGTGCTGGCAGTTTCAGATGCTCTGCTGAAACAGAAAGCTGTGAAATTGTCCTTCTGCTTCTCTGGGCTCTCTGAAGCACTGTCTGAACTAGCAGTTTCACATGGAAAGTCTGTGTGAAACATGTTATGAGTGGGACAGACTTGGACCAATTGGAATGGGCTAGTCTGAGATTTTAAAAAGATGAATGGGAATTGGGTGTTCAAGTCTCTTAGCCACCTAACGAGATTGGTTCTTTCCATACAAGTACATGTGGCGCCCTACTAGCTCTCCAGCTGTTGTGCTTACTGAGCAGAAATGCACTAGGTCACATTCTGATCTGTTCTACTGGTATAAATCCACTCACTTTTTTACACCAGTGTATCCTGGAGCGCACTTTCGTGCTCTGCAAAGGATAGAGTTATGGTGAATCAGATAGAGGGACTAACAAGAGAATTACTTCCTGCTAAGATCTTATCTGGGATTTTTAAAACCCTCCTCTTTCTCGCTTGCAGGATCTTGACTCCAATTCCATCCACACTATTGAAGCAAAGTATTTCTGTAGCTGAGCCCAACTAGTCCAATGCCCTAAACATAAGCCTCAGGCAGCATATGATGTCAGATGAGAATAAGTCATTAAAGATACCAGGCCTTGCCCAGTTCTAAATGGAGCTTAGCCCATTCAATCTAGCCAAGTGCAGTGAACCAGCCAAAAGGAGGAACAACTACTGATACTTTAAATGATTTTGATCAAGTTAGGGCTGCAAGTCCCCCTTTTAGTTACATCACAGCTCCACCTAGTTTGAATGCCCACTCAAAACTTGAACCAAACTTCTTGCATCTTCAATACAGTGCTGGATACATTACAATAGGGGGCAGGGGGTTGTTTGGTGTTTTGGTACTTCCAGCGCTTCTGCTTACACTCCCAATGGGAACCAGAGACCACAGATGGGAAAAAGTTTGGTTGAAGTCAGAAGTGGCATCAGCTGTAGGTGATTTAGCCCTCTTTTTCCAGCCAGGAAAGCTTTAAAACTTTCTCTTATTCCCCGGAGTTGCCACATGGTAAACAGCCCAGATGGACAAAAGGTTTGTGCACTGGGCTATTTCCACAGTGCTGCTGAGTTGAAACACTGAATAATAAAATAATAATAATAATAATAATAATTAACAATAATCCCACTAACCTAGAGGAACTGAGCCTACGGCTGCTCATATAAGCACCAGCAACCAAGTAAGGAGTCGTTGTAGCCTTAAGAAATAACTTTTGGTACAGTTACATCAAACGGCTGAGAAATACATCCTTTCCCTCTGTAGACTGCAAAATAAGTGTTCAGAGGGAAGCAGCTATTCCAAATGCTCTTGGGTGAACATTAATGAAAACCCTGCTGAATATTCTTAAATGACGAATGGAATCAGACCTCCCCAAAAGTCCATTCTTAAGGCATATTTTTTTAAAAAAGCCAATCAAATCAAATCAAAGCCTTTGCTGATGCCTCAGCTGCTGGCTGGCTCCAGTTTTGACATTCTTGAGCCTTTCCACTTGAAGACCGAGGGCCAGGTTCAGCAAGGCTCTTAAACAAGGGGCTTAGCGTTAAGTGTGCAAGTAGTGCCCCTAAAGTCAAAGGGACTGCACACACACACACAAAGTTAGGCATGTCTGTGAGTATCTTGCTGAACTGAGGCCCAAGGACCTGATGCCCAATTGGCTCTTCTCGTCATGTACACACACTTTACTCGGGTAGAAATTGCAACCAAATGTGAGTGGTAGCAGGTACCTCCACCTCTTTGCCCTGGTGCAAATCATGACACAATTTGTAAAGTGGTAACTGTGGACTGGAGGTGGAGGGAACGAAACTGCAGCAAGGCCCACGATATTCAAGACCCCAAACCAAATCTAAGTCTGAACTTTTGTGTTTTAGGCCTGTTTTTTCCTGTGAGCCAGAACTCCAACTATTCCTGGGTCCTTGGAAAGGGCCAAAATTTGTGAAGCACTGAACCCTAACAAAACCCATGAAAGGGATCTAGTAAATCACATAAGCATATGTTTGACATTATGTGAGTGTTCAACTGACTTCAATCAGATTCCTCACATGCTTAAAGTTAGGTGCACACTTGAGTGTTTTGTTACATCAGGGCCAGAATGTATTTAGTATCTTGCAGGATTGAGCCAAAAAAGAGGATACTTAAAAAATTTTCCTCTGTGCCTTTATGAATATTGTCTCTTGGCACAACTTTCTCCCTACCCCTCACTAGTAAAAATAAATAAAAGTAAAAAAAAGAAGAAAGCATGCTTCATATTCCAGATGGATATTTATTTGCTTAATAGGTATTTTCCACTTAAAAATATTTTATTTTTGGTACAAAGCATCCAGGAAAGCTTTTTTTTTTTCCTCCCTATTTCCCCCTTTCAAAAAATAAAAGTTAGGTTTCTAAAAAGACATACAAAAAGAAAAATCAGTTCTTTGCAGTTGCTCTGCAAATATATATATTGTCTTCCCCACTCCCTCCCAGACTACCTTTTAAATTTGGAACAATTTTTGTTTTCATTCATATATATTTAATAATAAAATAAATAAAGGCTTTACTTTGTGTTGTGTATTGCAGTGCCATTTTTTAAACAAAGGCTGCATGGCTCAATATTGCAAGGTAATATTAATTTTAAAAAAAGGATTACACATTAATATTCCCCTTCTTAGCCCCTCCCACTCACTCCCCAAAACCACAAAATAGAATACAATTCAAGTAGTCTCTTTTTAAAAAAAATGTTTTAAATGTATGGCTATATGAGGCAAAGCAAGTACATGACTGGTTAATAGAGTGTCCCCATTTGATTAGCACGTGAGAGTATATCAGAGGGCAATGTAGTTATGTCCCCCTTTTTAATGGTTCCTAGACAGATTTGATAATTATTAAACCAACCTATTGTACAGCCCTCTGCCCACCTCACACAGCAGTTAGCTCACCCAGCATTGAGCCTCAGGTAAGCAAACTGGTTTGCCTCTCCCACCTAGGCGTCAGCTTTGATTCTGCATTAGGCACAAAAAAGAGGAGAGGGAGGCATGCCACCTTTGCACCTCTGGAATGATGAAGCTGTCTCAGGTGCCTGCCCCATCTCCAGTGTTGGTCAGAGGAGCCTAGTGCTCTAAGTTACACTCAGACTTTCCATGGTCCCTAAAGCGAAACTAACCAGAGTGCAGCGAGCCCTGACTGAATCCCCTCCGTGCTATCCCCTCGATGCCAGGCTTTTTAAGAAGGATGGCCTGGAATCCTTTTGCCAGCGCTACCCATCAGCTGGGGATATTCCCTGAAGGACCATTCCGCCATCCATCCTGGAATGGCATATGAGGACACAGTGGAGCAGAGCCTCTGCTTACTTCTCTGAAAAGGGAGGAGGCCAGGGAAGTAGCGGGAGGAGATGATCAGTCAGGGAGTTACTGCTTCTGAGGAAACTCATTCAGGCCTTGATTCAGCAAGATACTGTGCCTCACTTCAAACACTGGACTAGTCCCATTGGACACCTCTGGAGCCTCATTGAGCCTTAAGGTTAGAGAGAAGGTGGCAGAGGGAGATCAAAAAGGACTCCGTGAATGACATACAAACCTGGATGTGAATGCTAGGGCCCAATCCTGCAAAAGCCAAGGCCTAACTTTCCATGCTATTAGTAGTTCCACCAAAGGCGATGGAACCACACTCAGGGTGAGAAGTTAAGCGCACGCCTAAGCTCTTGCAGAAGAGGGGGGAGCTTAGAGTTGTAACTTGGATACTGTAACAACTTCAGAATAGTTTGTCTTTTTTCAAAAAATTCCCTTTTGATCTAAACAAATGTGTATAGACGTATTTCTGCATGTGCGTGCATCTGTGTATGAGTGATAGCCAACTAGCTCATATGGTCACGACCAAGCTATATTTCAGAAGAGAAAAGAAACACATTTATCACACTTTTCCTAAAACGAAAAGCTACAATTTCAAGTTCAGTATTCAATATCTTGTCCTTCCCTCCCTACCCCACCCCCACCCCCACCCCTGCTATTTCTGGGTTTTTTTTCCCTTCCAACTTACTTTAGCACCATAACACATTTTAAACATTACAATCCCTCTTCAGATACTACACAAAATTGTCCCATAAAAATAGTGCTTTTTGCCAAAAAAGTTATATATATTATATATATAAATCAACTAAATCCGTGGCAAATGTGCAATGCAGACGCCTCCTCTTTTTAAAGTGAACATGAGTTCACTTCCACTTTTTTTATTTTCCCCCCTTCCTTTACCTCTTTCTCACACTTCATCTGTGATTTTAAAAAGGTGCAAGTAGATTTGGAATCTTGTAATTAAGCACACACACACACAAATTCAGATGGGTCTTCTTGGAATTTCTTCTCAGTTACCTTTCTTTTTAAGTAAAGGTGCAAAAAAAAATTGCTCTTTACAAAAATAAGAAAAAATACCAAACAAAAAAGCAGGGTGAGAACGAAAAAAAAATTGAACGCCTCCAAATAAATTTTGCCCCATTTTTTTCACTTAATTGACAAAAAAGATATGGAATGGACTCTTCAGTTTTTCAATTTCATATTCTTTTTTTCTTGCTCTTGCGCTCTCGTTTGCCTTCTGCTTTTGGCACATGGGATGTCATACCCTGCCCGATATTTTTAAAAGTTCAAGTGCCAAACTGTCCCTTTTAAGTATGGACTTGAAAATACTGAGTAGATAGGGGAACAAAACAAAACAGAAGTTTAAAAAAAAACACTTTAATGCTTAAAGGACAATGCCACAGAAATTACGTTGTTGCTGACAATGCGGTATTCCCATTCTTACTACGTCAGTTGTTTGGTTCTCTTTAAATTGGCATTACAGTGCCCCCTTTTTATTGCTTCTGGGTGGAAAGGCAATATCCCTCTTGCTTCGCAGCCAAGAAGGGTAAGGGCTAGGGAAGTTATGCCTTAAAAGTCCCCCCCCAGGAGATTTAAAAAAAAATAGAATCCATTTCACAGTTCACTTCCGGGTGCTTGATGTTTCTGAGGAAACTTGCACTACCGGAGGCTTCTGGCTGGGCAGAGAGATGAGAGGACGATGCACCTTGGTCTCTTCTGATGCTTGCAGCCCTTCGGCTTGCCACCGGTACCTGCGAGCGCGGAGGATGCTGGGAACTCCCCGTTGTAGGCGCTGTGAGCTCTTTTTCTGCCACACATCGTATTTGGAGTACTTGGCGTGCAAAGGTTTTTGAAAGCCATCCTGAAAGAGACAAGGAGGGTGGTAAAAGAAAAGCAAAATGAGGGTCCTATGGAATAGACCATTGGCTGGAAGCCCCATGACACTGTGGGCTGTTGGTGCCACAATGAAACCTTGCTGGACAGCCCTGACCAGCCCAACCTGAGGCACTGAAAGCAAGGAGTCTGCATTAAGAGGGGAAGGGTGATGGCATCCTCTTGGATTTGTGCTCTTATGCATTGCTTGATGTGAAGTTTGTCCTGTGATGGACACTTTCTGCCTCCTTGCTTCTCTTTCCTTCCCTGAAAATATGTTACTGCTTTTGGAGAAAGGGGAATTCGTTTGAAGAATTTGCATTCATTTTGTTCTTTATTTGCTTTCTCTGGAGACCTCTGCTCACATGCAAAGCCCAGGCTTTACTTAGATTAGCTTCTTCAGGCCAGTGTAGTCCAAATGCATTCTGTTTGTGGGGCTTCACTAGGAGACGTGGGCAACTGGGTTCCCACAGCCCAGACTGTCCTTTTGCAAATTGGTTTCTCTAAAGTGAAAGATTTAGCCCCTGGTTCCATCTCCCTCAGACACTGTCAGTTAATCGCCACTGTTGAGAAAACACATAGCACAGTGGACTGTACTATTGCTGTTGCGTCAGCAGCCATTATTACTTTTGGTAATGAGCGACTTTCACTTTCTAATGACCAGCACAAATTTTCTAGATGATCTGGTGGTTCTGTCTGGTTTTATTAAACTCATTTGATTCCCTCCTGGCCATTCAGTTTTAATCTTTATTTATCCTCCTTCCTTTACTTATTTACATCTAGTCACCTGATTTCTCACTTTATTATAGGTTTCTTTTGAACAGGTTATTTTACATTATTTACCCACTCACAATATTTGCTCTATGTGCCATGAAGGTCTCTATGCCCTGTTGTTATTGCAGAAGCAGCAGATCTTAGATATAAGAACGTTCCTCTCCCATGGGATTTTTTTTAAAAGAGCAGCTGATTTCTAGATATAATCTTCACTTACCTTGCTTAGTGCTGGGAAGACCACTAGAGAAGAGGACGAGAGATCCCGCTCAGACTTCACAGTCCTTGCACAGTATGTTTCCAAAAGAGCGAGGTCGCAGCTCCGAAAACAGCACTCCTCCACTATGCCACGGTTGAATCTTCTGTTATTTCGTCCCACGGGGCTACCTGAAACGGCAATCCTAGCAGTTAGCAATCAGTGGTGTTGAATTAGATTGTCCTCTCCTTTTCCTACGCCTGTGCTGCACCTAGAATATTTTAGGTACCACTGCAATGTAAACAGCACATGTAACATGTAAACATGTAACATGTGATCAGTTTTTGTACCAGTCTCGCTATTTATGTTAGGGGTGTCTTTTTTTTTTTTAAACTGATGTAGGTATATGTACAACCCCTAGTATGGCCCCAGCTAAATGGTATAAAACTGTCTTATAGTGGAATAGCTCATTCCCCTTCCTGTATGGGAGCAGTAATACTGGTATAAAGCCCCGTTAGACTGAAATAACGGCCTCTGTGAGGTATAGTTAAAGTGGTGCTATTTTTAGTGCATTCAAGGCCTAAATAATACACAGAAGAGAATTAATGCCTCTGGTGTTAGTTCTGGCAATTGTAATTCCAGTAGAAAGAGATAGCAGCATTCTTTATGAGTAAAGGTCTACCAAATTTGCAGCTATGAAAATTGTGTCACGGACCATGAAATCTGGTCTCCCCCATGAAATCTCCAGATGCCCAGGTTGGATGCAGAGCAGAGAGCAGCAGCTGCTGGCTGGATGCCCAGACTTTAAGGCAGCACCATGGCCAGCAGTAATACAAAAGTAAGGGTGGCAATAGCATGCCATCCATACTTCTCTGTTGCTGCTAGGGGCAGCGCTGCCTCCAGAGGTGGTCTCCTGGGCAGCAGCTGCTGCTCTCCCACCAGCCAGCTTCAGGCAGCCCCAGACAAGTAAGGGTGATAATACTGTAACCCTCTAATAGGTTAACAACCTGCTTTTGGGATGAGGCCCCCAGTTTGAGAAATGCTGTGGAAAAATCACACATTTTTTAGGGGTATGGAGTAAATAGATAATTTTGCAGATCCCCTGCTTATGAGGTGCTAGACTTGTATTGGAACGCTGACATGCCAGTCATGAAGTGGACCAATGGAGGGAAACTGTACCAGATACACTGGTTGGGAGGCAGCTGCAAAGCCTCTAACCCTCAGTGCAAGAATGATGCCTTAGCACATCCAGCAGCCATCCAAGTACAGCTTTTTAACTACTGAGTCTTTTAATACAGATTTCTTCCTCTGTATTTTTTTGCATAATGATGCTGTAGCCAGCAATTAAGTTTCCAATGCTGTGCAACAAGGGGATTGAATCTCGTGTAATTAAAACCAAAAACACCAGAGGAAAAGTCTAGATAATCCAATATCTTAAAGAAAAAAAACATTCAAATTTGCCCACTCTGCAGTGTAAAGTAGGTCAGTTGGGAAATACCAAATTTTTCAATCACAAAATATCCTAGAACCAAAATTGTGATTTTTATTTTATACATTCTTCCCCCAGAAGCGTTTGTTATTTTTTTTGCACTCAGCTGTTGTGGACCTGGAGACGTCTCTTTCTATGCTTCTGAAACGAGTGCAGTACAGGCAGTTCTATCTAGATGGTAGGAAGAGGGACATCCTGGTATAGAAATCATATTCCAGTTCCACTCCTCTTACCCAGTCAGAACATAAACACTACAGGCTACTTGCACTTTTCATTTTCATGAGCACAGAGAAGTGTGCAAAAAGATCCGAGGTCAGCAAAGCAGGTAAGCATGTGCAGGACTCTTCATAAACTCAAACTTAAGTGTTTTACCAGATTGGGATGTTAGGATCCTATCCTGCCAGGTGCTTAATTTCTTCACATCTACTTCACTGTGGTGCTCAGTACCTAGGAGGACTGGGTCCTAGGAGTGCATTTTTGTCAGCTACATAGATAGAGCTTTATGCAGACCCATTAAAGAATAACCCACAGACTCTGCATAGACACATGCACTCTTCTGTTTATGAAGTACAGTAAATATGTAGCATGAAAGCAAGCCCTTGGAGACACACCACTAGTTTAATTGCTTTAAAACAACAACAAAAACCCTAGAACCTCTGCCCTATTTCATCTGATGTCCCCATTTTCTGCCTTCTCCACCCAACTCTCCTCATGGCCACATTTTAAGGTCACTAGAACAAGTAAGTCACTAGAGTGAATCTGAGCTGCTATAGGGGACTTTGCTGACTCACAGTGTCTAGCCCAGCTTCTGGAATCATTTAAAAAAGAACTATATTTTCCCTTTTCTGAAAACATTTCAGGCATGACCTTTAATAAGCGAGCCGTGAAGGTTAGAGGGGTGGTTTTCTCCCTAGGAAAGCTCTGTGAAGGGAAAAAGACAAGCATTGTCGGGTGTTTATTTCTCTCATTAAAATGTTTGTGGCGTGTGAACTCTCGGCATGTGGATTGTTGTATTTCAAGCCCCATGCTTAGGACTGCGGCTCCTCATTTAATTCTAATTTCCAATCCTAGCCCTAACCTGATTGGCTGAACCAGTGCCCTGGCATCACAAGTCAGCCGTAGTGGCCCTTTCCCTGTGACAGACTGCCAGTGGCTGGAAATAAAGGGTGCATGTTAGTGCCTTGTTATCTCTAGGGCAGTCTTTCCCAATTTTACTTGGCCATGAAACCCTTTTAAACACGAAAGAATTTTGCGGAACCCCTAATAACAGTCTAATATATGGAGCTGAAAAAGTAGACCACAAATAAGTAAGGATAATAATAAAGAAATGCTAAAGAAGGTCATGAGATCAACATTTAGTTTAATTGCACATATTTAAAAACAAAAATCACTTCATATTAATTATTATTTTTGTAATCATAAAATGTGATTGTAGTGGAATTTTCTCGCAGGATCCTTATTTTCACTTCGCGGAACCCCGGGGTTCCGTGGAACACCATTTGGGAAACACTGCTCTAGGGAAAGCCAATGACTCACTGTGGGAGTGTCCCCATGAGCTACCTATCCCACTGGAGAATCTATGCATATATTCCAGTTTATATGACCTTCTCACCAGCAGGTTAATCGTAAAGGCAGCTGAGAGGGAGGCAGCTGTCTCATTTATAGATACGGTGGATGTATTCTTCTCTGGGTGCTGAACTGACATCGCTGTCTTTTTTTTACAGTTCAAGTGCAGCTTGTGGAGCCCCTCAAGTCCCCTCCCTCCATTCTGTACCTCCCAGACTGTCCTGGGGGGAGATGAGTGCTCTGTGTTTCTGCTCTGTAGTGGGGCTGGCACAGAGAGGGAATGAAGAGGCTTTAGCCTAGTGGGAGACGTCTGCTGGGGCTAGGGGCTCCAGCAGCAGTGGAGTTGAAGCCCCAAGCCCCAACTGGTGCCTCCTGTTGACTAATGCCCCGAGAGCCCTTTCTCCATAGGGCAGACAACCCTACCTCCACTACCCCACTGCAGGGTGAAGCCCCCAGCCTAGCTGGTGTGCCCAGTAGGGTTGCCAGATGGTTTAACCAAAAATACCAACACCCCCGGGGAAAAAATTCTTTTGAGGAAAAAAAAGGCTTTTTGGCCCTAACAGGCGGGTGACCTAAAATGGCCACCTGCCATCTTGCCATTTTAGGTGTCTGGTATTTTCTGAATTTTTTTACCGGACAGGAGGTGAAAATCCCAGGTGCTATCCGGTTCAATACTGAACATGTGGAAACCCTAGTGCCCCGCTCTCAGAGGGTCAGTAAGTTTGGCCATCCCTGGTCTATGATAAATGAAGGCCTAGGCAGAGAGGGAGGGAATACAGCTCCTTGCCTGAGTTCATTCTAAAAACAGATCCACAGCTGTGAAAGCATCTACTGGATAACTGATCATACTCAGATGCAGGAACGCTAACATCACAAATGTCCCCTTTTCTACTGCAGACTACTGGACCAATTTTTATAAGCAACTGAAACTGAGGAGAATATAAGGCTACACTTAAAACATTAAGGCACTGCCAGCGCTCTCTGTAAACCACCTAAACAGGAGGAGTAGCTGACTGCACTGGGAGCCCATGTACACAGGCACCTTACAGCGCTGTAATTTGCTGTGCTCAAGGAGGTTTTGTTTCACACCCTTGAGCGAGAAAGCTGCAGCACAAGTAAAGTGGTAGTGTAGACATGGCCTAACTATGACACTATCCCTGCTGTCTGAAAAGCTAGAAACAGTTCAAATATTTAGCATATTTATGATTCCAGGAAGGGGAAAGGGAGTGTAAAGTGAAAATCAAGAAAAAGTAAAGTGACCCTTTTGGCTAGTTCTCCATTCACATTCACACGAGTGGAAGGCTGCGTCAGCTTTTCTGTCCTAAGGGCTGAAGTACATAGGTTTGAGGAAGGGAATATGTTTTAACAACTTAACTTTTCTTTCAAAGAGAGAAGTTAGATGTCAGATGTGTATATTTGTGGGTAAAATTTTCCAAAGCAGTTGATTTAGCAGTCTACGTTCCGCTAACTTTTACCATCATTTAGAAGCCTAAGGGTGGGATTGAAACAGGCACCTAACTCCTATTGATTTCAATAAGCATTTGGTGCCTAAATCTTTTGGTATATTCCAGCCCAAGTGCCGAAGTTGTTTTTGAAAATGTTGACCAATATAGATTGCACACAGTCATCAGTGGGATTCTTAGGCCAGGTCTACACTAAAGGGGAAGGTTGAATCAAGATATCCCACTCCAGCTACGTCAATTACCTTGATGTACCTTGTCTCGAGATTCCCTCCCATCCCCACAGCAGGAGGCCAAGGTTTGCTCCCATTGGCTTCCCTTATTCCTCACAGGAGTACCCTCTGGCTACGTCTACATTGGCCCCTTTTCCGGAAGGGGCATGCTAATTTTTCAGATCGTAATAGGGAAATCCGCGGGGGATTTAAATATCCCCCGCGGCATTTAAATAAAAATGTCCGCCGCTTTTTTCCGGCTTTTAGAAAAGCCGGAAAAGAGCATCTACACTGGCCCCGATCCGGCCCGATCCTCCGGAAAAAAGCCCTTTGAAGTAGGAATAAGAGATCCTCCGGAAAAGGGCTTTTTTCCGGAGGATTGGGCCGGATCAGGGCCAGTGTAGACGCTCTTTTCCGGCTTTTCTAAAAGCCGGAAAAAAGCGGCGGGCATTTTTATTTAAATG